ACTGCCTTCCCATGTGCCTCACCTGATCCCAGTGGATGTGTGAACAGGAAAGACAGGAGTTTTGCCAGGGATGACAGCAAATTGCACTAGAGGGAAAAACCATACGAAGGAACTGGCAAATTACACATATCTTCACACTGACTGATTTGAAGGCACAGCGTGTAGCACACTCTGAAAGCAGCAGCTGCTCAGTATAAAACACTTGACACTGCTGAGACATTTGGAAGCCAAACAGTGAACACTGAAAGAAAAACTTCGGGGTTTTTCATCCAGGAAAATTCAAATTCTCAGAGGGGAAAAAAAATAACTGGGTTTGATTACTCAGACTGGCAATATCAGTATGCAGGTCCTTCAGCCTTCTTCCTCGGCATCTCTGCAGGTCAATGTGTCTCTCAGGGACACTTCCACACTTCCACACTCCTGGAGAGCCATTACTCAGTTGCATGACCGATAGGACCACTGGAGCCTGCTTGGATTTGTAAAAGCTGTCTTCCCAAAAGTTACCAGCTTTAAAAGTTATATTCTGACTCGAAGAAATGTTTCTTTCAAGAAGCATTTTTTGAATGTTTTATGCCTAAACACGAACACAAACCAACTTTCCCTCCTAAGTCCATATGATGACATCATTTCATGCAAAATACCAAGAGAGCAACTTTGCTGCCCACAGGCTTATTGGATAAACTGTCTGTGTCCTGATTCCTGCAGTCTGGGCAGACTCCATCAGCAATTCCTTTCAAAAGGTTTCTTTCCTCTGCACCCACACACCAAGGAACAGTTGGTTTCTATTTGACAAAATCAACGTTACAGCTCGACCCAGTCACATTTTAAGTTAATTTTCCATCAAACCTGAGTAAATTATAATTGCATTCAAGGCTCATGTGCTATAATATGGACTGAAGGTTTTACTTTCCATTATGGATCACCAAAACCCCCCGTGGTATGAATGGCAGATGACTCTGCACAGAATGATACACTTAAGAAATTGCTATTGGAGAACATTCTCAGGAATTAGAAAGTAATTGTGAGGCAAACAGCAATGAAAGGATCCAAGCTAAAGGGGAGCAAATCATATTCCAATTCCTTCACAAACACTGGGACAACAAAGGGAGGGAAAACCAATTTTTGGTGGTTTGTTTTATCTTTTGACACATTCCTGGGGCTTTTCTTATGGAATAAAGGAAGTAATGAACTGACTTTATTGACATTAAACTACCAGCATTAAAAGAAAGCCAAGATCACCAGCCAGTGTAGCCCCCACCACAGGAGGCTTAAAAGCTCCTCTGACGTCTCCTACCTGTGAAACTTTTCAATGTGTTGTCTTGAACGACTCCTCTTTGGTAAAGCATTTAAAAGCCATGTGCAAATAAAGTCTTCAAAAAATACCCTGCAGAACAGAAGGTTGCAGAACATTAAAGAAGCCAGTAAAATACGCAAACTGCTGCTGATCCCCTTTTTCCTCTAGGAATGATTAGGAGTCCTCCCAGCCCATATCTTTAGCAATTATTTGCTCACAGGAGTGCAGTATTGATTTCTCTAAAGCACACAGAGGGCCAGGAGTGCTTCAGCATCATTGGAGAGAAGCCTCAAGAAAGCAGTGGCTGCTGAACAGCAACATTTATTTCATTTGCAAAACCCCCAAACTGTCAGAGCCATGAAGTTTGCAAGTAAACCTTTCCCTGGTTTCTATGTTCATTCTATCATATAAAATGACAGTCTTTAATAATCTGTATTTCCCTGTTGTTTCTAGTAATAAATACAGTCTGACAATCCATTAAAGCTTTCAGATCTGTCTCAGGTTCTTTAAGCATGCCACTGTTATAAATCTGGCTGTTGCACAAGGGCAGACTTTGACATTTTGATATCTGTGTATTCCAAATGATATAATGTACAATTAAAAAAAAAAAAAAAGGCAGAAAGCATTTGTTTCTTTGTGTCTCAAGTGTCTCTTCAGGGAGCAGAACAATGATCATCAAGGTTCAGTTAGAAAGTCCATCAAGGAATGATATCACAACATTAGACAAATGGTGCTGCTCACAGGGAAAATAAGTTTATTTTTTTGTATTCAGTAAACCTGCTCAGCTATAGCCTTTTCTTCTTTTGCAGATAGGATTCCCCTTAATGGCTGTTCTTTGAATTTGTATCAAATCTCATTCCTAAATTACAGCTTCATAATTACTGAAAAAATTGCACGTGCTTCTGCACTGAACTGCTTACCCTATCCTGTATCTGCAGGGTCTCTGCTCCAGAGCTACAGATTTCATATCTCCCATGTGCTTGGAATAACATTTGATGCATTCCCTTGGTATGTTGAAAATTCCTTTATGTCACTGAAAGATGACAGAAATGGGGCTTTTCTTTAGAGACAGCTCAACACACTTTTCTCTCAAAACTAAATAGTAAGTGCTATTATACACTTTTAGCTAAATTGCAGAACAGTACTAGATGCCTACACCCCCAGTAAGACAGAGGAAAAAAAAAGACAGCCTAGGAAAGAAAAGCTTTCATTTTACTTTCTTTATTCTTGCTTTCCTACCTATAGCAAAATGAAAATACAAACAGTGAGAGGGAGGCAGATTAATTTTGTACATTTTCCCCATTACACCTTCCCTTTCTTCAACACAGCCAGAACAGCTGGGACTAATCCAGGGTGCTGAATGAAATAAAAACGGGCATTCTACCATATAAAGATTTTAAAAGTCTATAGTAAGTTCAATGTAATAGTAGTAGGTATTAAAGTTGGATGTATCTTTAAACGTGGTAAAAACCCATACCATATGTTATGATCAGCACCAAGATTCCTTCCCAGTGCTGGTGTAGAGTTAAAAAAATAAAAATAAAAAAAAAAGGGGAAAAGAATTTTTTACACATACATCCCCTTTTCCATTTCTTTCCATTATTTACAAACCACCGAACTCCCACAAATTAATTTTTAAAGCATTACCCCCTTCTGCTCTTAATAATTCAGTGGGAACATTATCAACACCTGGTGCTTTATTGTTCCTGGGTGCTTTGGTCGCCTCTTGGTTCTCCTACAAATGGCCCAGCCTTGGAAAACCCCAGCTCATCATTAAAGAGATCACCCTCTCCATCTCTCTGTAATTGCATTTTTTTGTAACCAAGTTTTCCATTTTGTCCTTTATCTGACTCATGCCCAGCTCATGTCCTTGTCTCAAAGGCTGATATCTCACTAACATGGTCTGAAGTTATCTTATTACGCTGCCACTTCAGCTGCACAGAGCCCTTTCTGTGCCACACCATCTTTCTGCTGAATCATTTGCATTACCAGAGGACTTACACAAGACAAAAAATCCTCAGCACACATTGCTTTCTTATACTCCCCATCCAAAACTTTTTGTTTTTTGAGCTCTTTCCACAGTTTTCTCCCGCTCTTTTTCTTTACTCCAGATGTTTCCCAGCTGGTATAAAATTGTTGCACAATAGTCAAAGCGTGTTCCCACCTGTAATACTTGGTGTTCAGGTCTGCATCTGTTCCTCAAAAATCAGACATTTGCTACACTTAGAACTCCTGTCTTCGTCAGAACAACTTAAGTCATTATTTTTATCACACACCGAGATCTCTCTGAAGCATCAACCTGTGTTCGCTGATAACTTTGAAGCATCAGATGATAACTGGCACCTTCCACATACTCAGGGGTAGAGATGTTAACTTCAGTAGAATTTTAACCATCTTTTCAAGGCTGGGGAATGGCAGGTGGAACTGCATACGAGTCACAGCTGCCTAAAAGCAGTGTTATAAAGCTTACTCAGATTTTTTAGCTCACTCCGAAAGACACTGAGGAACCTCCCACATATTGTTGTTTCAGATTTTATTACTCCAGATGAATAAAACGTCCAAGGACGCTTCTGGAATCCTCCTTTGGCGGGTTCACACGCTAGGGGGTATTTCTAGATGCTGATACAAACTATCCATGCCTCTTCCACTGCTCCTGCCTTGTTTTGCCCACGCTATCTCACATGTTTTGTTCCTTTGTGTACAATGAAGCCAGGACATTTTTTCCACAGGAAAACCCCAGCAGCTCTGCCTGCCTTTGGGAGCACCCCCAACCCCGGGTTACAGAGGCTGTGGAATAACCCTCAGTGAGAACCACCCAAACCTGCCTGTGCCTCCTGACAGAATTTTGTGTGAAATAGGCAAAACAACATGTTTCTCAGTACTGCTTGGAAGAGCGATGAAAGTGACAACACTGAGGTAAACGATATTGAAAATTTCAAGCCAGGTGACGTAATTCTAGCTAAAATAGTCCTTTGTGTACATATATACATATGTGTGTGTGTATATATATATATATATACACACACATGTACATATATATATATTTAAATATCCCTCAGTGCCCCAGGCCATCCCCTCTTCTTTTTAAGGGAATATTGGATGTGGGACTCAGGTTGAACTCATTGTCAGAGGCCTTTTCCAACATCATTAATGCTGCGAATCCCTCTTTGGCTCCCAGGCTTTGCTTTCCCCTTGAGCTCCTTGGGCGCTGCCTGAGGTGAATCCCCGCTTTCTGCTGCACCTCCGCACGCCCGCCCCGACACGGGGCCGAGCCCCCTCAGCCTGTCAGTCTCCCCCTGGGAATTTTTATTTATCAAAATTTGCTCTGGGTTGTTGTTTTTACCCCCCACGGGCCCATTTCTCCCCAGACGGACCGAGCGCAGCTCCCACTCCCCGGAGCCGCCTCAGGCGGCCCCTCAGAGCCCCCACGCGCCGGGGGGCGGGGCCTCCGCGCCGCTCCGCCCCCCCGCGCTCCGCACTTTCGCCACGCCCTCGCCGCCTCCCACGCCGGCCCCCCGAGTCCTGTAGCCGTTGTTGTCGAACGCGCCGCGTCTCGCTGGTACCGCAGAACCTCCCTAGGCTGCCTTTTCCCGCCGGGTTTCACGCTCTGCCTGCCGGAGCCTGCGGCGAATCTGCTGACCCCAAGAGCCAGCCCGGCCCTGCCCTTGCGGCGGCAGCGGAAGCGGAAGCGCCGCCATTTTGTCTCGGGTGATGGCGGCCGTGGCGCTGCGGGGCCGGCGGGTTTAGCGCGGGCCCGGCCCTGGCCGCACTCGCTGCTCGGACAGTCGCTGTGCCTGCGAGCCGCCGCCGCCTCGCTGCGGGCCCCGGCCATGTACGGAGGGGCCGGAGGGTCTCGACGGACTCCGGAAGAAGCAGGCCCGCCGCCCCTGATGTTGTTGTCAGGCGGGGCAGCGGTGCCCGGGCCCCCCGGAGCAGGCGGAGGTGGAGGCGGGAATAGCCGTGTGGAGCTGCTGGTGTTCGGCTATGCCTGCAAGCTGTTCCGGGATGATGAGAAGGCCCAGTACCAGGAACAGGGGCGGCACCTTATTCCTTGGATGGGAGACCCCAAGATCATGATCGATAGGTCGGTGTAACACAACCCCCCAGACCGTGCTGCGAGCCCTCCTCCTGTGATAGCCTCTCTCTGTTTCCCCCCCTTGTGCTGTGGGCAGGTGAGGGCGGGGGGGATGAGCGGCGGGGATGTTCTTCGAGGGCGGCTCCCCCTGGAGAAGCGCTCCGGGGGCTGCGCTGGGAGCTCGGCGTTCCCCGCCGGAGGTTCCCGGCAGGGCGCGGCGGAGAGCGGGGAAGGGGCTGTTCCTTTTCAGTGCGGACCTCGAACATCCTCTGCTCCTCACCCGGAGTCCCGGGGAGCCCGGCTGCGTTGGGAATACCTTGTTAGGCGCGCTGCGTGTTCTCTGGGTGAGAACGGCGCAGTGTGGGCAGCGCAGGGGTGTTTTTACCCACCTCGGAGCAAAGAGGAATTTCTTATCTCTCCTACATGGTCTGGCTGCAGGCTGTTGGTGGGACACCCCAGAAGCGATTCTTGGCCTAATTACATTTTCCTTGTGCCACGATTCACTGTATTAGTCAGAGTGGAGTTGATTTTGGGTGCTTGCTGCTCAAGTTTTGTGTGAGAGGTGGCTTTTTTTTTTTTTTGGTGGTTGTTCATGCAGTAGGTCCAGGTTGGTGGCCAGAGGCAGGAGTAGAATCTGCTTTGATGTTCCTTCTGGTCTCTGAGTTGTTGTTTCAGCGGTGCAGGTTGGGATTTAGAAATTAATTCATTCAGAAAGAGTGTTCTGGGTGTTTTGCTGGAGAGAGGGAAGATGGGAGGTCAGGTTGGTTGTATTTCAGTGGAGCGCTGAAAGAATAATTTAAGAGTTGTGGCTGACCCTGAAAACCTCAGTGGGAAGGATTTTGGTTTGAAAAGGATCACATGACATACTGTAGATATTTGTTCCCTCGATTTCATTATTGCTTTGGTGCTGGACTTGATTTTCTTGTTGTGACTTAAGAGCTGCATTTGGCTTGGGAAAATGTCAGTAAGGGAAGGTCTTTCCACTCCCTTCCGTAAGACTGGAGGAAAAAAGAAGTGGCCCTTGCACTGCTTTGGTGTCTGTACTGTCAATGACTTCTCTGTCATTGAAATCAGTTTGATAAATTGAAATAAGCACAAACACAGGGAAAAGCAGCCCTCAGTGCTCGTGGCTGTGCTCCGTTCTCAGTGACACGAGGATGGAGGTGTCACACCGCACCCCTGTGATCCAGGTCACGTCTGTGACAGATCTCATGGGCAGGTAGAGGATGTTTTTGGGGTCCTGTGCAGCAGCAGCCCCGTTCCCAGATGGCGCAGAAATTGTAGGGAGCAAACACTTGAGTATGTGCACGTCAGCACCGAAACACCCGAACAACCTACACTTGTGAGCCGAGGCAGCTTGCAATTGCTAATCCTATAAACTCCTTTGGAAGCTTAGGTTCCTTTTATCTCCAGCAGCAGGAAGCCTCCATTACCACCATTCTGAGAAAAGCACGTTGCCATGAGAAGACTTGGGTTGAAGTTTGCCTCTGGACAGAGCTTGATTAACCAGACCCGTGCGTTCCGCTCGCTTTTTGCCACGAGAATATTTTACTTTCTTTGTTTTTGGTCTAGCGAGTTGGCACAAGTCAAGAGTTGTGTGTGTGGGAAGACGCCTCAGCGGAGTCGAGTTTCCTGTCACTTTGCTTTTCCAATCAGTTTCTCTTGCTGGTGCACAAACATTATCCCAGGGCAGTGCTTTTCCTGCAAACCAAACCAAACCGTCTCCTGGCAGACGGGCGCTGTCCGTCGCCGATCTCTGCCGGTTTTGCGCTGAACCTCCTTAAGTTGCATGTTTATGTTACTGTTCCTATGTATGTGTGTCTCTCTATCACATAACCCAGAACTTATTTCCTCAGCCAAATGGCTAGGGGCCGAGCCTAGCCATGATTTTACCTCCAATGGACGCAAGTTTCTATGGTGAAGATTTCTCCTGAGAGTTCGGGACTAGCAGGAAAGAAGCGAGGAAATTTCGACCGTTTGGTTCTTACGGATAGGTATTTATGTACTCGGGTTTGTGTGAATGTAAGCTATTTGACTTTCCAGAAAAAAAAAAAAAAAAACGTATTTTGCAAGTGGCATTGATTGGTTGGTTGAAGCACGTACGGTAAGAGCTGTTAAGGAAATGGATCCCACTTTAAAAAAAAAAAAACTATTAAAAGGATAACTTTTTTTTTGCCTTTAATTGTTAATAATTTAGTAGTTTCTTTGAGAGGAATTTAGACTGTTAAATTTTCAATAGTTGGTGACAAATGATTAGCAAAATTAAATCGTAACTTCTAAAAAGGGAGAGTTTGCGTTAACGTATAAGTATTTTATTTTTTTTTTTCTTTTTTCATTTTTTATGGGTAAGTATTTTAAGTAGTCACATAAACCCAAGCCCTAAGTTCTTTGCATTGACCAGCTGTTTCATCCTGCAGGTATGATGGGCGTGGTCACCTGCATGACCTCTCTGAGTACGATGCTGAGTATTCCACGTGGAACAGAGATTATCAGCTGTCGGAAGAGGAGGCTAGAATAGAAGCCCTCTGTGATGAAGAGAGGTATTTAGCCTTGCATACGGACTTGCTTGAGGAGGAGGCAAGGCAAGGTATTTGCTCAAGGAAACTTCCTGAGTTTAGCACACTGTTGAAAGAAATTATGGTGCAATTAAATTTACTCCTAATTTTATACTCTCTTTTTCTGATGTTATCTTGACAGTACCCAGTGGAATCGAAAAGCGGGAGGCTTTGCGTATGGGAGAGGACCTCAGGATAGTTTAACTGTAGAGCCATACAGAAATTGCCCAGATTCTGAGAGCAGGCTGGGATTTCAGACCTCCCCTCCTCCCCCCAAAATGCCCCAAAATAAACACACTGTGCTTCTTTTTTAGTGTTGTATAAGTGAAATTCCGTGCTTTATGTGCATAATTGCATTAGAGTGTCTTAATCCGCAGCCTGTGTCTCTTCAAGAAGAATTAAGTGGTCAGCACGTGTTACGTGCTGTGTTTTTCTGTTCAGGTTTTAATGAAAGCTAAAATGATCAGGTGAAAACTTCTAATTTTAAAACTGAAGTAAGAATTATTACTTCTTTTTTTTTTTTTTTAATCAATTAGCTTCCAAATGTGTTCTAATGTTGGCAATTGCATTTTTGTTCAAGAGGAGGAATATAAAAGACTGAGTGAAGCTTTGGCAGAGGATGGTACCTATAATGCAGTGGGATTCCGTTATGGCAGTGATTATTATGACCCTTCAGAACCCACTGAGGAGGAGGAGCACCAGCCTGCAAAACAAAGAGGTAAGGGGTAAAAATAGCAAGGGTGAATTGAGAGGGAGGACTCTGCACCTCTGTGTCTTGCAGTTGCAGGCTGAAAATATCTGTGTCATTCAAGTGCAATTAAAAATTCTCAAAGCACTTCATCAAAGTCTTTGTGGGACTCTGTTACTGAGTTTTTGCAGACTTTGTTCTTGATGAGCTTAAATGTTTTCTGTTACAGCACAGTCAATACTGCAGCAGTCAGGGAATTTAATTCTGCTGTCTTGCAGGTTCTTATGAAGAAAAAGCTAATAATTCCTCTCATGGCTGTCTGTTGACACTGTGTTTCTTAGTCAAGAAGGAAAATAAAATAGTCAACATAGAATAGTAATTAATAAGAATATATATTTTTTAAGTTTAGATTTTGTCATCTTAATTATCAGAAATGAGTCTGTCTTCAACACAGTGGGCCTGTTCCATGACCTAAAAAGTACAGAATTAAGTTCTCATGTTCCCATCTCTAATTACAATGACTTTGTATTTTTAGCATGAAGCCTTAAAGAAGCTTTCAATGGTTTTTGAACTAAGTTGAGTGAGGATTGTTTAATTAACAGTTGGGTTGCCTAAGTACATATGGATGTGTTCTGTGGTATGAGATGTGCTTTTCTTACCAAGGTGTGTGTGCTGCAGTGCAGGATCATTTTAGGTGCTAAAGCTTATTCAGTGTTTTTTGCTGCTGTGTGGGAGAGGTTGTGTCAGGGCAGTGTCTGTGTTGCTTGCATTCCACAGAGGGTTTTTTCTGTACTCTTATCTCATGCTGAATTGCATTTTCTCTTCTGGGGTTTAATTCATTTGTTTTAGACTCCATCCCCAAATTGTGTTAGCAGGAGCTGCTACCAAAAGAAACCCTCCCATTCTGATTTGTCTGCTTCTTCCTTCTTTCCTTAATGCTAAAATTTCTCTGTGTCTTTGGAGAGTTAAACTAATTGAGTTCATTTAAAAAAAAACCAAAACCCAGCCCACCAGAAAACAACCAAAAACCCCTTTGTTGGCTGCTCTGTGTGCGTGGTGAGGCTGCTCTGCTGTGCCCGGAATTCCCATGGTCAGGTGTCCTTGGTCCTACCTAGTTTGTGAGGGGAAAACTGGACTACAATTTCTCTTAAAACCAGTAGAATAGATAATACAACGAGTTACTTTCTAAAGTAAACTTTTCACTTCGATTATTATAAAATTTTGCAGAGCAAAATATTTTCTGGGGGACATTTTTGCTGTAGCAAATAACAGAACGTTAAACAAATTGTCCTTTATAACCATATTTAAATGTCTTCAGTGCAAATTTACAGTTGCACTTGATAAATTCCTTTATTGCACATCCTTTTGGATATACTTTATTTTAATAACTGTTCTTGAACATTTGGGTGCTTTGACATGTTTTGTCCTATAGTATTTTCTTCTGTTGTTTCTTGTAGAAGCAGCTCAGACAGAAAATATAGAGGAAAATGAAGAACCTTTCGTTGCCCCTCCGGGACTGAATGTACCCTCTGATGTGGAACTGGTAAGTGTGTAAATTTAGTTCAGCTGCACTTCTGCCAACTTTTGAGGAGTTAATGGTTTGGTGACTGGATTGGTTTTTTCCCATTAACTTTACTGTGGTATATTTTAAATTATTCTAAAAGAGTGGCTTAATTTCAAATGTTCTTTCTTGAATTCTTGAGTTCTGTGAACACTCTTGAATCTTCTTTTTTTCGCTGAAATGATTGCAGGGCTTATTCTGAGTGCATTTAGTATCACTTGTGATATTCTTTTAGATAATGCAGAGAAGGGGCAGTTGCTCTTGGAATGGATTCTTGCTGAGATGTCAGGGTTGACATTCTGAACGTAAAGGACCATTAAACCAAAAGATTGCTTCTGTTCAAGAGGTTTTCTCTGGATTCTTTTTAATTGAGTCCCAATCTGAAGGGGATAGGAATTGGCCAAGTGTAAAGGCTGGGTTTGAAACTAGCCTAAGTGTGAAATAACTTGAAAGTACTAGCTTGTAGAAGTTTATAGAAGCTCTTTCGTTCCTGTGATGTCACCAGAATTTGCTACATAATTTAAACTTAATTACAACTTGTGTATTTTTCCTGCTACCTGAAGGGAGTTGAACAGACACCTGCCTGAGTACAGTTCTAACCATGAGGGTTTTCAGTTTATATCAATTTTTGTAAAAGATACTGGGAAATCAAATAATATTCATTCTTCTATACCCATGGTCATGAAAGTGTTAATTTATGTGTGGGCTCAACTTGATATTCTCATCTTGATAACCTTGACCAGTAAGGATTCAAAACACTCTGCCAGAATAACTAATAGTGAGCACAGGATATTTGTGTAAGAGTGTTTTTCTACTTCATTAGCTTTTAATTAAAAATATTTATCCTGTTGTGTTTTTTTTACATGAAATAAGAGCTATTTAACCAAACTAATGTGCAACTTACTCTAATTTTACTTCCTCCTCTTTACAATTTATAATGCATTTCATTAGTGAGGTGCTCACCAACCTAGTTCTAAATTCAGGGAAGATTTTTATATGCTACCTTTAAATAATGAGTTACACTTTAGCCTTATAATGTATAAGAACCTTGAGTTCTCAGAGAGAAGCTGCTTATTTTGCAATTGGATGCTGTTTCCAAGCAGTAACTGTTGGTTTAGGCAGCTGCTTGGCTCGAGTTTTGTTCTGAAACTTCAGGTATATTTTCTATGCATGTTGCAGAATGCAGTGTGGGACTTACTGAAGTAATTTCCCAGTCAGTTATTGAACTGCAGTATGTTCACATAAACAGAAAGCAAAATGTAGATGTATTTGGTTTTGAGTAAAAAGAAAACAAACCAGCAAACATCAAAATGTCCAGACAGCAGCTCTGAAAACAGTGTATACTTGACCTTGGATTGGGAATTGTGAGGATTTGGTTTTCTGCAAGCCTTGATTTGTTGTTGTTGTTCTAGTCATTCAGCTTTACCAGGGAACATATTTATTTTGTATTTTTTTATTTCGACTGCTGGGAGGAACAGAAGCCTGGTAAAGGTCACTTGTAGACTTTAAATCGTTTTGGGGAGGAAGCTGCTTGGAAATAACTTAAAATTTGAGAGTCAGCTTGCTAATGTGGAGGTTTTGCTCACAGCCTGCAAGGTGCAGTTCAACAAAGACAGATATGAAATATCTTCTGTAATACAAAATGCAAATATTGAAGATGAGTCAGGCAGCACAACTGCTAAAAAAGGTCCAGAGGCTGTAGTGAGATGGAGAATGTTGAGTGTGTGGCAACCCCAACTGCAGCAGTTGGAGTTCTTCCACTGCTTCAAACTGTGATTATGGGCAGAGATGACTTTTTCACCGGTGCATTTCAAGTAGTCTGTGGATGCTATGAAAGTGGGCTGCGAGAGGAAATTATCAGTTAATAACTTCTGAGGAGAGATAGAATCACAAAAACTTGATATGTCTGGTGAAAATGATAATGCACAAATTGTTATCAGTTTATTAAGAACTTCATTGCGTCTAATTAAAATAATCTGTGCTAGGATTTTAAAGGGACAAGTAAAACTTGTAACAACTAGTTATTTGACATGGTGAATGTGTTGTCCTGGTGGATCCAGTTGTCTGAAAAGAGCCTTTAAAAATGGGCTGTTTGATTATATTCAGATTTTTTTCCCTACATGGAGCACCATGTTTCCAGTCCTCTGAAAAGCATTTTCTGGGCTTTGCAGCATAGTTCTGTATTTAAACCAATAAAAATGCAAAGCTAAACCGAATCATTAGTGTGACACTTCAGTTTCTGTAGGCACACAGAGTATGTGTTTCTGCAGTTTAGTAAGCACAAGACAAACAGCTGAGTTTGAAGTTAAGGACAGTGAATGATGTTCATTCATTCTTTAACTGTTCTCCTCTTCTCTTCTTGGGTTTGATATGGCAGTGCTCCCTAGATGGGATTTCAGGAGTGGAATGCATGGATGCTGCCTAACTTTATTAATTTTACGTTTTCTTTAATTGTTAAGGTGTTTGATGACTCTTTAGGGCAATGTGACAGCACATAGGAATTACAGTTCTTGTGTTGGTCTTGAGAGGCGACGTGTTCCTCCCAAGCAAATGCAAAGTAACAAACTTTTCTAGTTAGGGAACAATATTTGCACGCTTAGAGATAACAGAAATAAGGGGAGCTCTGGGGATGAAGATCATATATTGTGAGTCTTCAGATTACCTTGAGGTGTTGTAACACCAAACTCACCCTGGATTTGTTCCCCTTCGGTTTGGTGTGCGGTGGCAGAAACAGTTGTGCTGATCTTGCCAAAGGAACTGAGCGAGCAGCTGGGAAGGATTGAGACTGTGTTGGTGATTTTGTAGTGCTCACCTGCTTTCATTAGCTGTGAGACCCCCAGAAACCTGAGCTGCCAAACAAATCTAAGAAGGGCGGGGAACTCCTGCTCTTTCTAATTAATTCCCTTTGGAGCTGTAACACGCCGTACAAGCTGCCTGTGGAAACACAGATATGTGGTATTTGCCTCCCCCAGCCCCCGACAGCGAAGATGCACGCCATCATCGAGCGGACGGCCAACTTCGTGTGCAAGCAGGGAGCGCAGTTCGAGATCATGCTGAAGGCCAAGCAGGCCCGCAACTCCCAGTTCGACTTCCTGCGCTTCGACCACTACCTCAACCCCTACTACAAGTTCATCCAGAAGGCCATGAAGGAGGGACGATACGCGGCCCCTTCCGAGAGCAAAGCGGACGACAAGAAACGTGAGTTGTTGCCTGGCCTGGGGCAGCCGAACAGCCGCTGGGGCCACGTCCCTTTGGTGTTACCCCCCAGCTGAGGTTGAGGGGATGATTCAAAACCTCCCTTAAATTGGAGGAGATTTTTTAAAAAAGATACTGGTTTGGAAACCTTTCAGCTACTGGAGCTGTTGTTATTTCGGAGGTTTTAGAAGCTCTCATATAGCTCAGCAGAAGGACTCAACACTTTGGTGTTAGTCTTACGGATGTCTTGCTGATGTCTGGCAGTATCTTCTTGTATCTGTGTTGTTGTGGATAAGCCAATTGATATAATTGAGGCTTGCTTAAGAATTCGTGCTTTTGCTGTATCATCTTTCTCTCCCAATGCCAACTCAGAGCAAACCCAAATACAGTTCAGGTATTGCTTTTATTTAGACTCGAGAGTCAAATCTGAGGAAGATGATGATGATGACGACGACGATGATGGAAATTATCTGCATCCGAGTCTCTTTGCATCAAAAAAATGCAGTAGGCTCGAAGAGCTCATGAAGGTACTTGACCATAATAAAATTACTTTCTATTTTGTAAAACACCTGATTCATGGACACAGAAATTACAATATGCAGATGTTCGTGTCTTTTATTGACAAAGGTTTGGGGTTTTTTACAGACTGTAATTGAAGTCTGTTTTGATAGGCTTTTGAGTTATCTTTTCTCTAGTACATAAATTGTTATTTTTCCATTTGTAAGGAATTATATTTCTATTTTTGATGCCCTCTGGTATTGAGGGCATCACTCAAGGATTTATCCCACAGAACCTGTGTTGAAGCAGAAGAGATTAAGGTATTTAATGCCTTCTGTATATAAACTGAGAATTTTTCTTTTTAGATTTTAGTGAATAAAATATTGACATGAAGTAGCACTTTCAGCAAATAATATTTCACTAGAATTTACTACTCTTTACATGTAAATTTTGCTGGATGTGTTAGTTATTTTTATTTTCTGAGTCTGGGCAGTGATAGAATAATGGGACTGACAGATGGTTGGATGTATTTGAGCCTTTCAGAGGAATGGCTTTGGTGCTGCCTCAGACAAGGCAGTTCCGTGGCTTATCCCAGCCATGGCAGTAAATGGCTAACAGAAATAACCACTTTTTTTTATGCCATGCATTTCTGTTCACGTGGAATTATTTTTGTTTCGTTTTCCACTAATTTTCAGAAATGTTGATTCTGATATGAGAGCTACAAAAAGAGTAACTTCTATTAGGAAGTTTGCACAGAATTGTCAGTGTCTATTAACTCAGACAAATATGCCTTCCCAAATATGTTGGTGCTATCGTGCCTTAAATATGTACTTCCAATTTTAATCTCTTTTTCTCCTCTGAAAACCTTTCCAGCCTTTGAAGGTGGTAGACCCCGATCACCCCCTTGCAGCGCTGGTGCGCAAAGCGCAGTCAGACAACAACTCCTCCACAGCACAGTCAGCAGACGGGGCAGCTGTGCAGACGTCACAGGCAGAATACTCCTCTGATTGTAAGTGCTTTGTGATTAGGCAGCTGCTGGAGTGTCTTGATGAATTGTGTGGGGATGCTGGTGGGAAGAGAACACGTTGGCTTCACGTTCATCCTGTGTGTTTATTCTTTTTCAGTCTCCTGAAGGTGCATTCTTTATTACCTCTAACCTTCAGTACTTGTGCATTCTGTCCCTTACTCCACCTATTTCTTAGTCAGCCTAAGTGCATTAATATGAGCCACCTTCTTTTTCTCAGTTTTTCTTTTTACACAAGAGATCGAGTGCCATTTCTTAGTGTGTGTGGTGTGAATCAGGATTCCCTGTGCGTGTGTACTGTTGCAATAACTGTTTTTCTAACTGGGTGTTTTTCTTCTAATTAGAACATTGTTCTTAAATGTGTCTTTTTCCAGCAACGGTGGCAGCCATGTATTACAGCTACTACATGCTCCCTGACGGCACCTATTGCCTCGCACCTCCGCCTCCAGGAATAGATGTTGCCACCTACTACAACGCCCTGCCCGCAGGGGTGACTGTGTCCAGCACTACAGGGGTAGCAGCAGTGCCTCCCCCCTGGCACCACACCCCCACCTCCCCCAGACACGAGTGACAGCAGCAGTGGGTTGACTTCCACCACAACATCTACAAGGTACCTTGTGCAGATTTGCTCATCCGTATCAGGGGTCTTCCTGCCCTTCAATGTGGAATATTTAGTATATGGAGTGTTCTGTTACTGAATGGAGTGCGCACAGAGAACAAACCTCTGCGTACCTTTTTGTTGTTGTTAAAGCAAGAGTCTGAAAGGTATTTACGTTCTATTTATAAAAACCATTTACTCTTGATGTTTTCAGCACAATTGCTCCAGTGGTTGCCATTATACCTCCGCCTCCAGATATCCAACCCGTCATTGATAAGCTGGCTGAGTATGTCGCTAGGAATGGGGTAAAATTTGAAACCAGTGTTCGTGCCAAGAATGATCTCAGGTAAGAGAAAATGTTATTTAAACTTGCATTTGAAAAGTTGAGGGTTTCGTTTTTAAGTGTATTACCAGGGCATGTGGGTTTCAAGTAGAGAAATACTGTATGTTTTTTTTTTTTTTTTTAAATTGAAATTCAGGGACCTACTTAAAAGTAATGCCAAAGCATTATTGCCCAAATTCTCAAAAAAACCCCAGCCTATCAAAAATGTCTCCAGTAAGCATACTCTGAATATATATCCTCTGAAGTTCAGGGCTAAGTAAGAGTGCTTCCAAACACCAAATAATGTTCCATTTGCTAGAGAAAAGTAGATGGCAAGGGATTGTTGGTATTCACTATGTTCACGTGCATTTTCACATACTTGGTTTTCTTTTCACAGGTTTGAGTTCCTGCAACCATGGCACCAGTATAATGCTTATTATGAATTTAAAAAACAGTTCTTCCTTCAAAAAGAGAGCAGTGACAACTGCCAGGTACATGTGTGTTTGTATATACTCCTACTAAAAATGCAGTGAAAGTGGGAAAAGGACTGGTTTATCTGTTATGTTACCATGAGACATTTTAAAAATGGAACACTGAATTATGGAGAGATTGTGCAGCAAAGGATGGGATGCTTTTTTTTGTTGTTTTTCAGTTTTGTACGTCATTTACGTAAGGATATAGTGAGGTGGAGTGGTATTTAATTCTTTTTTACTATAAGCCACTTCACTGTGGTTGCAATATAAAATGACAACCTTAAAATCCTCGGGCTTTCTCTAGGAGGGGATGTATGTTTGTGGAGCTTTAGAGCTGTTGGAGGATTGTGATCAGTGTTGTGCTGTCAGAAAGGGGAGGTACGAATTTTAACCACCCGTGCCTTCTCATGTGCCTCGTGGTTGTCTCTACCACAGTAGCACAGAGGCTGGACTAGTTTTCTGACATGCTTTTTTCTAAGAAAGGTTTTGTTAAAGAGTCCTGTCATGACTGCAAACAATACTGGAGCTTCAGAATCTCACAGCAGTTTCCTACTTGCTTTGCTTCTCCTAGTCCATGTTATTAGAAGGTGATAGCCAGACTTGGCATCCATGTCTGTAACTATTCTCGTGCTAGCTCATTAGATTGTTCTCTTACTGAAAAGAAATTTGCAAATAGTATCAGAACTACATTATCTGATGTTAACTTTTCATGGGAAAGAGCTATTTTTTTTTTAGGCCCTATGTCATTTGTCATCTCAAGGCTTAGATTGGGGAGCCTTAAACTGAAGAAGGTAGGCCTGTGGGTAAACTCCTCGGAATTGCTTTGTGGAAAATGAAGAAATTCAATACTCATTGCTGTTTGAAACACTTGTGTCTGATGTTTTGTTTTGATAGTGAACAATGTTGTGAAAATACTGTTTTTAAAGATAAGCTGTGGTAAATACTATCTTACTCAGCTGATAAATTGCAAGCAAAATTGTCCTGTGCCACAATGTCGACTGTTATTCTAGAATGTCTTATTTGCAAACCAGTGGGTTGAATTCTTAATACTTGTGTAATTAATAGGGACTAATTAACACTTATTTGGGGGGAAATTGTACACTAACCAAAGCATAATAATAAAGGATTCATTTTAAATGTTCAGATGAGTACAGCTAAGAAGCAACAGAAGCTGACTTAAGTCCCTCGAGGTCAAGTGTAGCAATGCACATTTTTGTACTGCATGGCTTTGTAGATAATGCCATTCTCTTCATTTTTTAAAAGTAATGATTTCAATGTTATCTTTATGCTTTAGTAATACATGTACAGGCAACTAATGCAATTGATGCTTCTCCTTCTGGCCATTAAAGTTAATAAGAAATTGTACTGCTGGCCCCAGTAAATACAGGACAAAGTCTTTGATTTCATTGTGTTTTACCCCTTCGAGGATTTCCAGAAATTACTTCTGTTGGTCAGGGAGTGGCTGCAGGGAAGATCTGCTCAGTGCCTCAATTTCAGCATCAAATGCACTGAACAACAGTGGAATGCAACCAACCTATTTACTGAGAGGCACATTTCAGTGTTAAATTACTTAATGTCTTCACCTGACTCACCATGCAAATATTTTGAATGTTCTGTAATATCCATCTTGAAATTTTTATCCTGTGAGTTCAGAGATCATCCTGAATGATTCAGTCATGTAATAGCACAACCAGGAATTCTTTACTCCCCTTGAGAGATCTCAGCACATCTGTACTGTATCAAAAAACATTGCTAGGCCCAATGTTCTTCAGCAAGATGTTGGAACAAATCAACCTATGTTGACCCCTGTAAAATTTAATTCTGTTGAAGAAGTTATCTTGCATTTGTACATTAGGAAAAACATGTTGGAAGCTTGTGTTTTGTCCCTGGGAATCAATGTTAATGGGTTTGGTCTCTGACCCTGAAGGTCAAGACCTTAAGAATAATCTTTGGGAAAAAAAAGCATATGCTTTTAGGGACTAATGTTAAAAATGCAATTTTGAAAGCAGTTTTTGGCAAAAGTATATCAGCTGAAGAACATTCTCTTTGCTGTAAAATCACATGTTCTTACAGTAGGTCTGTAGGTTTTACAGCCTGTGGGTTTACGTGAGGCAGACTTACGGTCGTGAGTGCTCAGTGATATAAAAATAGCTGTTATGTGATTAGCTGATAATGTGATTTTTGAAATGGCTGGCAAAACTGCAGCTCCACAGACACTGCATTAATTGTTTCATAACCACCCAGTTAGTAATTCTGCACATTTCTTTTGAAAAGGGAGTATCTTCCTCTGAAGATGTTCCAGCAGACACTGCCAGTGATACACCAAGTGAGACTCAGTTTGCAGATGAACATGCACCTGAGGATGCATCTGAGCCAAGCTCTAAAGGAGTTCCAGGAACTAAAAAAGATGTTCCTCCTCCTAAAGCTGTCAGTGATGGCAAACTGGTGAAAGGTATGTTAAAGTGATTTATTGGGCGTGAAAGTGTTTGTTAACATATATATATAAGGGAAAAAAGGAAGGTGGGAGAGAGGTGGGGGGAAGTAGGGACAAGAATTTCATCATGCAAAAAAATACATTTGCACTGAAGACATCAAAAAGGGACTGAAATAAGTAATTTGATTGCTTTCATATTTCTTTCTTATCAGACTCTCAGGTATTTATGGTGTGACAGAATAAATTGTTTTACTTCAGTTTTGTGCTGCGTTGAAGGCTTTCATCACTGACCCCAGCAGAATCTTATTTTTGTCATTTTGAACTTGACAGTTAAAGGCTCTGTGCAAGAAAGAAGTCATTTGTTGGGAATAAAAGCAGTGGTCTGATTTGAAATCATACATATGGAGGAAGTACTTTAGGCCTGTTGCTCAGTCTTCCTGTGTTGGACATCAGTCATGGTGGAAAAAAAGACCCCTTTTCATGTCTAAGTGGAATGTTTTTCCTTTTCCAGTTGTAGCAGCAGGGGGACAGAATGGGAAGATTCTCTGGAAGAGAGAACTGATATCTGGGAACTGATTTCCTGGCCTATCAGGAAAAGATACCTTAAAAATTCCCCTTTTTTGCAGTAAAAACTAGAAAATTAAATCTTTTAACTAGAACTGGAAGCCATTGGGGAAAAAACAACACAGAGAAATCACTCTTGACCTGTGTTCCCATGGATGGAAGCTGCTTTCCTGCCACCTCACTTAGTTGTTTGTTTCTTGTGTTATTAATAAAAGGCAAACTGGAGCCTGTGCTTTAATAATAGTAATCTGCTCAAATTCTGAGGATGGAATATAACCAGTGAGTCATTTCATGACAGTCGCGCTCCTATAAATATTTATTTTCATTTCCTTTAATATGGTACAAATACCACTTTATTGTAACCTAAATACAGGACTTGGCTGCGAGACAGACATAACATTGGCACTAGATTTTTCTTCTGCCTCTGAGGAAGTAAAATCCTTTTTAGGATTTGTTTTGCCACATGAAAAGGTTGGAAAATCGCTGTTATCTCTTCTCTTGGAATGCTCGAGTTCTCTGTTTCTGAGCATATTTCCTGCATGCAGAATAACCTAAGTGAAAGCATATATTTTATAGACCTTGGTATGTAATTTAATGACTGTATTTAAATCTTATAGGATATGTATGCAAAAGGCATCCTGAGGAACATACACATTGCAGCAGACCATATGGCAGTAGGTTGCTTTGCTTGAAATGTGTGAGAGATTCCATTCTTTATTCATAGAAGTTTCATTTTGCATAAACGGGTTAGAAATTAAGGCTGTATTTTTTTTCAGGTCTGTACACGACAAACCAAGTTTCCAGCGTTTATTTAAAACCAAATTTGTTTAAAAAAAAAAGAAAAAAATGCTTGTGTTGTCTAATGATGTGTGAATTCTCCCCCATTCATTCACAGCATCGTTTGCTCCAATAAGCTTTGCAATCAAGGCCAAAGAAAACGACCTCCTTCCTTTGGAGAAAAACCGGGTTAAATTAGATGATGACAGCGATGAGGAGGAAGAGGAGGGAAAGGAAGGCCAAGAGAATGCAAACAGTGCTTCAAACCACACCCCAGCAGTTACCACCCCTTGTGCTGCTCCAGAAGAGAAGAAACCTCAGCTTACACAGGAGGAGCTGGAAGCTAAACAAGGTATTCCATGTGGCACTGGAAACGAAATGAAGCATCGAGTCCTTCAGGGAGGCTGCAGAACTGTCATGGGAATGTGTGACTTTTTAGTGTGTTGAATCTTTTCTGTCTGATATTAACAGGAATCAGAGTTCTTCTACCACAGTTTCCTCCTTATTGTTAAGGATTGAATCTTCATCTAAAAATCAAGCTTTTAACGGACTGGTGTCGAGTGCTTTGCCCTAATGCCTGATCTTTCTGAATTTTGTTTTAGTTTTCCATTACAACCTTCAGTAAAACACTAACCTTTTGGTTTCCAGATTGCATTAACAGAGCCAAGCAAAAGCATATCTTGTTTCTCATTTTCTTCAGAGAACAATGGATTGCTTCAAGCTGTTTTTCAGTTATATAGCACTCTCATATAGACAAATATCACCTGGTTGATGTTTTGCTACTCTGATAATGCAATGCCATTAAGTCTTTGTGTGGGTTTTTCTTGTTGCTGTATAAGGGCAGAAGGGTATGCTGTGTGAATTTGAATGAAAAGATGTTTTAAAGGAATCAAATTTCCCCCATTCGAGATTTTTTTTAACTTTAAAAGTTTTTACTTCCCCTGTACTGCTCTTCATCAAGCAAATGATGTATATCTATGAATTAAGGTGCTTGGAATTTCCTAATTTCAATGTGATGTGTCCTTATCGTGTCGGTGAATGGATGCATTAGAAAGGGCTGAGAATGGCTGGAGAGGCTGTTTGCTGGTTTGTGATCTTTGTTTCTCACTCTGTGTTTAATTGTCTTTCCTAGCAAAGCAGAAACTAGAGGACAGATTAGCAGCTGCTGCAAGGGAGAAGCTTGCCCAGGCTTCCAAAGAATCCAAGGAGAAGCAGCTGCAAGCAGAGCGCAAAAGGAAAGCTGCGCTGTTCTTGCAGACCCTGAAAAACCCTCTGGCAGAGGCAGAGACTGAGAAAATGGAGGAGAATTCCTTCAGTAACGAGGTAAGCAGGAAATAAGTTTCTCTTTTCCATAAAGCTGGCAGAAAACTTCCCTCTGCAGTGTGAATCTGACAGCGTGTTATGGATGTGACTGAAGACATGGAAGGGGTTCTAAATGGGGAGAAATTTGAATTTTAAACACTGTTAATCTTCTTCAGGTATCTTACTTATGTCTCTCATCTGTCATTAAAGAACTGGTAGGGGAATGTGCTGCACAAATTCTGAGGTCAGTTAGGCAGGTACACAAAGGAAAAGGACCTTCCACATTTTAACTCTGTACTAGTGGTCTGTGTATTAGAGTGCTCACCTTTCAGGAGTGTTGGGTATCAGTTGTGATACCTCTTTAATGTATATGTTGATGATTTTGATGCATGTTGCAAATACAAACATTACTGGAAAGTAGAACCTCAGTTCCCTGGAGTTTGGAATTGCATTGCTTCCAGGAAAGCCAGTAAAACAAAGAATCCAGTTGCACTAATCAAGCCAAGTGTCATCTCTGGATACTGATAGAAAATTTTAGATATTGATTGTGACAGACTGGTTGCAAGGATGATGACATGGATTTCCATCATTTTCTTTCCCACAGCAAGAATTCCAGTACCTAACAAATAATAATTTCCCAGTTCTTGATTTCTTTTCCAAATAAATCATGGATTACCCCTGAAAACACTCTCAAGAGAACAACTGAAAGGGACATACCTGCAGTTTAGATGATCCATATCAGCACAGAGTAGCAGATGTAAGAATTATGTGTGGTCACATCCCAAAAGAGATCCTGCTTGGGTCTCTCATTGCTCCTGCTGACCAATTTTCCCTGACACAAGTTATATTCTCAGTTACAGACCGAAGAGTGAATGCAAAGAGACAGTGACAATGCAAAACTCCCCAGACTTGCAGTTCTGCTCCCCTTCTCAAGGGAATTTACCAAGGACAGATATTTCTAAGCTAAGGTTCTTTTGATATTTTTCTTTAAGAGAATGCCTGAAATAACCAGTGACAGCTGACTCTTTTTCAGAAGAGCAGGTGAATGTTCTTGCTCACATCTGAACTTACTGAAGTTCTAAGCTGAACTTACTAAAAAGCAAGTGAACTTCTCAACAAAAAAACACACCCTTTCCCACTTCTCAGAAAGCTGTTTTTCTAGAAACTTCTTTTTCCTTCTCCCTCATACGTACAGTTTCAGAGAAGGCATCTATTTTTTTCTTACACAAAAAATTCCAGTGTATTTGAGAATTTTAAAATAACCTGTTTCACTGCTTCTCACCAATAGAAATGGTTTGGAGGTGCTTTCTTTATTAAATGGTATTTAGAATTTCAGTCCTGTATTTAAATGTTTCCGTTGTGATGTGACCTTGCCCTTTTAAAATAAAATTGGCTGTTGCATTGGGAGTGCCAGTCCTGTTTCAATGAACAGTCTAAAATGCCATCATGTCTTGGGAAGTAATATTCCAAAGTGTGGTTTGCTTATGTAGATATATGCATATGGATTTTTGCATATAAAAGCTTATTTTGGAACGTGAATGTTTTCCAAGCTGTTGTTCCATTTGCCGTGTTTGAAAAAGCTTCCACCTCCATTCATTCCAAACAATCTGCCTTTTGCCCTCCTTGCCTGCTTTTGCCTCTTTGTAACAGCCCATTTGGAGTTAAGGAATTGTGCTGGGGAAAGATGAGTGAAATCATATTGCAGGATTGTTAACCTCTGTTTTATATACCCTGAGAGTCCAGAAAGCAGCTTCATGATGTCTGAATCAGCTTGTAAATAAACATGTACCACTGGTTTGGGTTTTTTGGAAGCTTTTTCAGTTGTGTTTCAGAAACAAGATGCATTTGAAAACGCTCATTGCAGAAGTAACAAGAGGGTGACTACAGTGGCTGTAATAAAAAGGAAATTGGGTAAAAAGGTGAGAGAGAAAGAAGTGTAAAATCAGTTTTGTAGTTTGGCCAGTGGAACTAGTTGGGGAAATTAAATCAGAAAATTAATTAACCTGAAAAGAGAGGAACAAATTAAATATTTGCATCCACCAAAGATGTCACTCTATTGTATTTCATCTCCTGTTTTTGTGGAAGGAGCATCCGATGAGGAATCCAGGAAACAAAAGGTTGGTATGCACTGGTCCTACAGTTAATGGAGTGGTGTGATTTTTGTAGCTTAAAATGTGTCTCAGAAACTGAGTAAGGACCGAGATGTACAATAAAGAGTGAAGAGGAGTTGAGAATGTCCATGGGAGGAGCATTTTTTCCATGACATTGCCCCAGCCTAATAGCTGTGTAAAAACTAGTAATGCTCTTTATGTGTACACACAGTGCACATTGGTGCTGAGAATCTGCTTATCACACTGTGCAGAAATGCATTAAATGTGCAAAGCTTTTGTGACCTCTCTCACATTTTCCTGATACCTTGTATCTCATGAAAGAAAGGCTGGTACTGAGTATACATTATATCTTTGAAAGAAATCCATTCTTCTAACTGCAGGTAAAGGACAGTCAATACCACACAGCAGAGCACTTTTAAACTGGTTTGGCTTCAGCTGAATCTTTAAAATAGTCAGTTCTACATTTTCCATAGCTGAATTATTTCTTATATATGGTTTCCTGTTTTTCTAGAAGTGAAATGAAGCAAGAGAAACAAAAAGGCTGAAAAATGAGCTGGAGCAGTGAAGCAGCACAGCTTTTCACAAATGGCTCCTCTCTGTTCTTGCATGCATTATTACAGCAGTACAGTGGTGCAGAATATTTCCTCAAACCTGTACTTGGAAAACGTGGAGCTTTAGCTCAGTTTGCCCAGCTGATCAACTCCCAGTGACCTTGTGGCTGGTGAAGTTTGGGCCCTTTTTTGAGGACGTGGGTAAACAGCGACCGGGTGACACTTCCCTGCTTGTGTTTACGTGGATCATTCACGGACACTCTTCTGTGACAGGAAAATCACACCAAGTGGCACATCTGCTGGTGTCACTGAAGAGGAGCTGCTGTCACTCTGCAGTGAGAGCAGCTTCCTTGTCCTCCAACAGAAGCAGATTGTATTTCCAACTACTGCAGTTCTAGACACGCCAAGCTGGAGTACTCCAGGTTAGCTGGAGTGCTGCATTGAACTGCTTTTTTCATTTTAAAACAAATGAGGGAAGGTGTTTCAGAATCTGAAATGCAAATATCATTCAAAATTATTAAAATTAATTTACAGTTTTAAAACTAAGATGATATTTGTGTATCCTTGGTAGTAGGCCTTGGCATGGATTATCCTGCTAATCTCTCATATTTAGTCCTGTGTCAGGGCTGATAGTGCTTTGATAGGCTTGTAAGACAGTTGGTCATACCCAACTGTTACCTGTATAAACCTTCGAGTCCAATTTAAACAAGAAGAGAAATCCACAGTCATAACACTGCAAAGTCAGACAAGCACCTGATTTGAAAGTGACGGTATTTTAATGCCTTGTCCCAAATGTCATCTGTTGTTGTGCCTCTGAACATAAAGATTCTGTGGCACAAAGCAAAACTTTCCTTCTTTTGGCTTTTTCATCTTCTCTGTTTTGAAGCCCTGTTTTATCATTTGTTTCTTTAGATGGCTTGTCCTTACTTTTGTCCTGTATGTAACAATTTTCTTTTTTTTTTCCTGTGGAAAGAAGTCTGTTTACGAGTGAAATACAAGTGTGCCATGTTTAAAAATGAGATGCTCCTCTAGTTCTGTCAAGCAGAACAGGGCAATCAACGACTGCAGACAGTGCATGTCTCTCACACTGATTGCTGTAGTTGATCCTACTTTTTTAGCAGTGGACTGCAGATGCTGCTGCATTCCTCTCTTTGGAAAAATAATGGGAACACCATTCTCTGTTTGCCTGTTTTCTTTATGTTAATTTTTGAGCAAAATGAAATTGTCTAATGAAAACCATCCAATAAGTACTTAAAGAAAAAATGCTCGAGGATATTTCAGAACCTTTACTTCTTTTTTTTTTTTTCAGAATCTATAGGTATCTATATCTTCTGTTTAGCATGAAAGGGGAGGATGGGTTTGCTTGCTTGTAAATCTATCTGTCTGAAAAAATGAGATAAAGGAAAAACATAAAATGTCACATACTAATGTGGCATTTGGGGGGTAGATAACTTGATGGCATTTGGAAATTCTTTTTATTGCAGTAACCCTACCACCAAAAACTACCTGAGAGTTGTAATTCCTCATGGTATAAATTCTTTAATCATCATTTAACAGGGAGAAAAAGGTAAATATCAGGATCTGCCATTTTAATTAAGATAGGTGAGGAGTTAAGAATGTTTATGTGTTGATTTTTAGTCTTCAGAGCACTCGAGATACAAAAGCATATATTGATCCATGCAGCAAACTGATTCACAGCCACCAATTTCTTTACAGTTGGCCCTTCAAAATCGAGGGTGCCAAATTTTGTCTGCTTTTGAGGACCTTACCATGGTCAGTGTACTGTCAATAGCTGGGTTTCAGTGCAGCACCTTAACCCTGATGGAACTGTTGAGTCTTTGAGGATTGAATTTGTTCTACAGGAAATATTTTTATCTCTTCTGTTTAATAATTTTGGGCCAGTTAATTGAGACTAGGACTGACAGACTTCTAAAAAGATGTAATTGCTTACTTTATTGCTCAGAGCAATGAATACAAAACTTAGTACACTCCCATTTTCTGGTGGACAGTTGCTTATTAATTCTCAGTCAGAGAATACTTCACTGTAAGCTCTGGGGAACCTGCAGTAAAAAAAGATACAGTGGTAGAAAAGAATCTGGAGTATTTTCAGATTTTACTAAAGTAAAAGAACTGTTATTAACTCTTTCAGTTCTGATGTAATATAGGATTCAAATTACTGAAAAAGAAGTATTAGCCAATTATAGCAGTGTTAGTAATGTTATCGACAATGCTCTTTGCCAGTTGGTTTTGTTTGAATATACTGGTGTTTTGTTCTGTTGCAATGAGCACATTTTGGTTCACTTCTAATTTTGGCTTTGTGTATTGATTAAGTACTGTAACCCCAGAATAACTAATGTGTGTTCTGGGCTTATGAATACTGCAAATATGCAAATGACTTGTAATGAACTGAAGTGCTCGTTTCTGTTCTCATATAGCTATAAATTCTCCTTATTACAGAGCTCTTTCCTAAGCCATTCCTGCTAAACAAGAGTTGTTGAATCATCTTTTAGCATTATTTTAGTCAGACTTGCTTCAGTCATGCAAATAAAATGCTGAAGAACAACTCTGCCAGTGAATTTGTCTGTCACTGTAGCATTTAGTAATGGCCCAGAAAAATGTGCTGTTACCCAAAATGGACAGACAAGTGAGATTCAGTGAATGCTATCTGAACATTTGCAGTTTAACTTCTTAGAAGAGCTCTCAAAAAATGTCAATCTCTTACCCCTTGAGATGCATAATAAAATTCATCAGGTAACCAGTTTGTTTCCGTGCTTTCCAAAACTCTTCTAATGAGCTGCGAATTGGCAGAGCCTGCTCAGTAAAGCAGAGTGTTCCTGCCTTTTGGAAATGCTTTTGTGCTTCATGTGATTTTTTTTCTTTTTTTCATTTTTCAAAAGTTATCTTTTGCTGCATCATGCCTTCAATTTTAGTTCCCATTACCTTATTTTGCCTGGATGAGGTTCCACAAGAGAAAATACAAACCACTGACAACGCTGTCTCTTTGCCAGACGCTCCAGACAGTCTATTTTCTTTCCAAATATTTTTACTCACCGGCATTATTTATACACTTAGAAACTTGCTTTGTGGCCTAGCAACTTGCTGACGTGCTTTCACTGCCTCTCTCTCCTGCTCTGATGGTGAATCAGGTCCTTTTGCTGGTGCTTTTTAGTTTGAAGGCAACCAGAGTTGTCCCTGAAGGAAGCAGCCCTTTTGTTCCGGTGATCCTGTTGTTGTGACCTGACAATTGTCACCGCAGCTCCTGGACACAGTGATGAAGGAGGGGGACTTCTCCCTGTGTGTCACCTGTTGAATTTCACTGCAGAACCAAAAGTAAATGTGTCACTCATTTATACCTCTGCCGAAAAGGGAGTTAATGAGAGCTTGTGTTTTATGCGGCCAAATGAACTCGGGCACCGAAAACCTTTGGGATTTCCTTCCCTCTCTTGTTTTCCTCTTAACTCTACTTTGCCTACAGCTATTTTGTTTCAAGCTATTAGAGGTGTCTACTTCAAGGCAAACTGGGCTATTACATATTCAGGAGTGTTCAAAGCAAAGGATCAGGTGCTGTATAAAGAGCTGAATAACATTGTCAGGGAACAAAAGTCAGCAGCGGTGGCCTCTTAGGAAACTGAAGTTTTGGAGAGGAGGTGTCTGCAGTTACATGTGGAATATGTGAAAGTGGAAATGGGCCTCTGGTAAACCAGTCACTCAAATGATCATGCTGTAAAATGTTTCTGATCTTTGAAGCAAACTACCTTAGTACTGCTTTACTGCTGGTTTTGTGAGTATTGTGACAGCAGTTATTACAGCACAGAGAAGTGTCCTGGCTCTGTAATGTGAAGCAGAGCTGGCTTTTTGATTATTCAAATGTGGCCAGTTATTGCCATGATGTATTCATGGTGGGAGAAGGGCAAAAAGAAAGGAACAGATCACCTGTTTCTAATTTGCTTATTTCAGGTTTTAACGTGTTATTTTTTATTCCAGTCATGGTAAGTATCCTTGTATCAAACGGTGAAAGTGTCAGAGCAGGTGGAGCAGAAATTATGACAGAGGGAAACTGATTTCTCCAGTTGCCTTGAAACGGCAGCTGGGGGAATGACAGGCTTTGAAATGAGGAGCATATCTGTAGTGCCTGACTTGAATTGTTCTAAACAAGGTATTGAGCAGAACTCTCCGGGGTACCAGCTGATAATTTGAAAATGTCTCGGGGTGGTTTTGCTTAACCTCCTGCAGTTGGAATTCCTCACTTGATCATTAACTGTGCGTGGAGCTGGTTTGTCTTTGAGATTAATAATTTTTGTGATCTTCCCAAACCCTTTATATTCAAAACATTTGTTTTGCAGAGTTCAGAAAGAAAACTTAACTTCGAATGTCAGTAGTTCCTGATTGCATTTTCAGGTTCATCCTTTTAAATAAAAGATATCTGATAGCACCCACTTTTTAGAACACATTTCTTCTGAAAACTAAAGACGCAAACTTCAGAACTATGTCCTAGTTAAGCTGACAGTCTTAGCATGCATACACCAACTTGCATATGTATCTTTGGGGAACTGCACAGGCCTCTGGTACATTCTGCTAGATAGATGTTTTTGAAGATGTCAGCCTTATTTATGCACCCTTTACATAATCCCCATGAAGCACGACTGACTTGCAAAGTGAACACTGTTCTTTGTTTACCTTTGATTCCAGACTGTCAATAGTATACCATGTCCTGTGACTGCAGTCAGAACTTTACCCACCTTGGAAGTCAAACAGGCAGAAAGGCCTTCAAGCAGAAGCAGAGATCCTCCCAGGGATGAAGAAAAGGAGAAGAAAAGGAAAAAACACAAGAAAAGATCTCGGTCGAGATCTCGATCGCCATTCAAGTATCACTCATCATCTAAGTCCAGATCCAGGTCACACTCAAAAGCAAAGCACTCACTTCCCACTGCCTACAGAACTGTCAGGCATTCAAGGTGTGTTTGGAGGCCAAACGTGTTCTTTGTGCTCAAAAATACTGTTTATGTTCTTTATGTTTGGCTATACATCTCTTTAAAACTTTTGGCTATCAATTGGCTAACAGTCTTTTTTGGTATATATCTCTTTAAAATATCTTTGCACTAAGAAGTGCAAAGATATTTTAAAGAGATATATACCAAAATATGCATAGGCATTGATACAATCACCCTGAAGACAATAAATAAATATCATCAACTGTGGCAGGTCTTGGAAAACATTTTTAATGAAATAACGAATCGTTAATTTCTAATTACAGAGTGTAGACTTGTTCAATAAATGCTTCTTCACTCTAGTCTGTAAAATACTTGGTGATAATATGTAGGAATGAGATGATAGCAAGAAGAGAACTTGGATAATAAATTTGTGGCTGTTGCTGGAGGAAAATAAGTAGACAGTATTAAGATGGGGAATAGAGAACTGAGTGGTTGAACATCAAAGCTCAGAAGGAAACAAAGCAGTTGGGTGGCATGTGAAAAAATATGATGGATGAATTGGAGGAGAGATATGACAGGAATTCAAGAAGGGTGAAAGCAGAGTTGATGAGGGAGAGACCACAAGAATGTAACCCAGTTAACTCTGTATTTAATGATTAATGGGATTAAATGCACTGTATTGATTATCCAGCTATAAGATGATATGCATTGTGTTACATTGATACTGTTAATTCCATCTCAGCTATTTGGATTTAGGCACCTCTAAAGTTTGCTATCTGTAAAATTTGTCACATCTGAATGCCCTGCCACAGAGCAGTCATTGGGGTCAGTAGGATGTGGAATTGTGCACTGCCTTCCCTTTGTGGCCATGCCTCTGGCACATGTTCCTTCCTGAAAAACAACTGCCAGCCCCCAGTGGCAGTGTGCCAAAATTTCTCATTTTGTATTTTCGTTGTGCTTTCCTTGTTTGTTTAACTGCACTAACAGGAGCAGGTGTTGACACGTTACAACCTTTTGGGTCACGCTAGATCTTTGTTACCACAAAAGGTGGCTGGACTAAAGGAAAACTTTTCCATTAACTAATACAGAAGTTGTCATTACAGACAATACCGAAAAAATAACTCCTTTTTTTTAACCTCCCTGTTGGGAGTGAAAAGCAGTGGGTAACTTCATCTTAAAATGTCTTGGATGGACAAGAAATTTTTATGCAGCTGACAAGTCCTGGAGACTTAATACCCCTTGCTGGTATAAAATAGGCATTTGAAAGGTGTTATACTTGCATTTGGTGACAGCACAATCCCACTGAGGTAGAAGGAATGAAATAAGTGACAAAAAGCAAACCTTTGAGTGTCTCTTCTGTGCTCAGGTCACGATCCAGGTCTCCCAGGAGAAGGGCTCACAGCCCCGAGAGGCGGCGGGAGGAGAGGAGCGTCCCCACAGCCTATCGGATCAGCAACAGCCCCGGCAACAGCAGGAAACGGCCCCGCTCCAAGTGAGTGTGCCCAGGCCTGGAGAGGGCTGGCACCTGGCACACTGAAACACTGCCTGGTGTGCTGTACACTCCCCAGCTACAACTTACCTTTCTATGTTCTGGGCCTTCAGTTTGATAGAAAAAAAACTTCTGTGCAGATAAATGTAGTAATAGAAGCTCTTGTCCTTCTTCCCTGTTCCTGCATGTGTTTGAACACCAGATGTACAACCACACTGGTGAATGTTGATAAACTGCTGCCTCCTGGCCAGGGGAGTTCAGGTTCTGCTTGGAATGTTGTATTTCCCTCCTGTTGGGTCATTTTCTCGTGGTGTGCTCGTGCAAGCTCTGTGGCCTGCACTGGTCATAGTGCAAGTGTGATGTCAGCTTTCTTGATATCACATCAGCACAAATCAGGGCAACTGCGATTTAGCAAACAGTTTGATTTACATTTTGCAGTTATTTTACTGACAGAGTGGAATGTGAGGTATGAATCGAGGTACCTCTTTTGAGAGCACAATGCATATAGTCTGTTTTAACCTATTATTACCAAAAAGCCACTTTGTCTTTAAATCCTTTCTGCATATCTCTTGTGGAATGAGAAGCAAAGAGATCACTTTCAGCTTTATTAAAAAATTCCTATTGTTTCTTAAGATAACTTTCCATCTCTTGACAGCCTCTAATTAATTGATGTGTGGTAGGTATAATTGAAAACTTCATGAGTATACTTCTGTGATTTAGTTTTTAACATTCATCAGTTGAAGATAATAGAGGTTTCTGTGGAATTCAGTATGCAAATTTGGTTAAGCAGAAAAGATAGGGAAGCTTAAAATGTTTCTCTTCCTATAAACACTCACAGGAATTATTTTCACAGCCCTGTGCTATTTTTAATGCAGTGTTGGTGTGTCTCCCGCTTGACCATTCAGCATTTTAAATCATAAATTATTTTTAGAATTATTTCACTCCGAGTTGTAAAAGAAAGGAACAAATAATGTGATACTTAAAGGATGGCTTAAAGTTTTACAGTGTTTTTAAGATGTTCTAGAAGCTTCAACACCGTTCTTCTGAATAGACTTCTGGCAGTTACACACTAGAGAGAGATCCCACAATGAGGCATTGCCTAACTCTAATTAAGGCATTTCTCTAGTTATTATAGTAATATCAATACTGGCATGTAAATCATACAGACATAAGTTCATAACCAGGTAAAAAATTTTGATAGTTCTGTTTTTAATATATTACTAATTGAATTATCTTCAAGCTTCATATTGCCTGGGAGGTGAGTACCTCTGTTCCCTTCCTGTCAATAATGAACACATCAGGTGCCCATCAGTCCTTTGTTTTGGCTCTTGTAGTGACAAATATTTGTGTATCCGATTTCCAAGTTGCAAACATTTTGCACTTGAGCCGTCTTGCCAGGTCCAGGTTGGTTTGAGTGCAGTACAGCAGGTTGTTGATAATTCTGAGCCTGTGGCTTGTTGCATTGCAGATGGATCACAAGGAAAGGAGTAATTTCTTTTCCAAACCAAACAAACCATGAATTTGCCTTGTACATGTTTTACACAGCTGTGCTTCCGTGGTTTTCTATTTATGAGCTGGGAAAATTGTCAAACAGTGGCCAGTAATTCCTGTGTACCCCTGAAGCAGCATTCCAAGTGCGAACCTCAGGAGCTGGTAGTTGCCTAATGTGATATGTTAAAAGGAGCTTCTGAGAAAGTATTTTGCACAATTATAGAAGTGCAGCACTGGAGTAAGGCTGATGCTTGCTGAATGCAGGAGAATATCCTGAGGAAGAGGGCTACATCATCTTTCACAAGTGTGAAAAGTATCTCCAGCTGAGCCAGTGTAATATTGCTCTAAATATCCCTCAATAAAATATCTTCTTCCCACAGAAGTCCCCATGAAAAGAAGAAGAAGAGGCGGTCTAGATCACGTACCAAATCCAGAGCCAGGTCTCCCTCACCATCCATGTCACCAGGCAAACCATCCACACACAAAAATTCCGCACATTCAACCAGTGTCTCTCCTGTGGAGAGCAGGGAATCCAGCCAGGAACGCTCCAGGTACCGTGCTCTGTGACCCTGCAGTGCTCGGGTCTCTTCACTGGGAGTGTGTCCTTTGGCCAGACTTGGTGAGGAGCAATCTGTGTGTGCCTGTCAAAAGTGGAAGGCACTGGGAGCACAGCACTGTGTGCATCAGTCTGATGAAGATCTTGGATCTCTGTTGCCAAGTGGAGTAAACATCTCTACGTGCTCTTCCAGTAAAACTGGTGCAGAAAATTCTGCAACCTCATTCCGAGTCAGAAATTGGAAACTTGCACTAAATGGGGTGACTCTTTGAAGTAGAACTTTAATGGAGTGGTTTGAATTGTAATGCATGCACAAGACTCATAATTAAATTATTTCTACAGAATATAGAACAGTCTTGTAAAAAAATTCCCAGGCTGCTCCTCAGATGTGCCTGATCAGTTGTACAAGTGATTCTTCTGATTTATGGCTTCTAGTTGATTGAGAGAGCTGTTGACTTAACATGTGAGAAAGATGTAAAATAAAACCCAAAATTGTGGTGGTGAGTGAAATGCATTTTTAAAACACTTGCTCTAAATTTCTAATTCTAGTTTTATTTTTTTAGGGGAGTTTCTCAGGAAAAAGATGGCCAAATCTCTTCAGCAATTGTGTCTTCAGTGCAGAGTAAAATCACTCAGGTACAAGTAGACAAATTCAGAATAATGTCACTGTCATCTGTGAAAATGCCTCTGCTGTGTAAATTTTTGGTTCAGATTTACAAAGCAAGCAAAAAAGCTTTCTATTGTAGAGTAATTGTGACATTCACTCTCCATCTCTCTTTTCACTTCTTTTTCCTTTTTTAAGCCTTCAGTGGTTAGTTGTGTGCTCATTACAGGAGGGTTTTTTTTTTAAGATTGCTTTCCCTTTCAGTTGATGTGATTTCTGTGTTTTGTTGTGTAGAAACTGCTCTAAATATTTATGCAGAGCACTTTGTAGCGTTGTGGTAAATCCCAACTTCAGTTGCTGTCACAGGAGCTTTCTCCAGATTACTTCACTCCTTTAGCCTGGGGACTGTTTTAACATTTAATGATCACAAATCCAGGTTTTCAGTGTGACTGGAACATGAACTACCCCTTCCTTGCAGGTTTAGCTCAGACACCACTGATCATTTTCCTTCTGTTTTCTGCAGGATCTTATGGCCAAAGTGAGAGCAATGCTTGCAGCTTCCAAAAACATCCAAACTAGTGCCTCCTGAGACCTGTTGAACTGACCATCAAGAAATTGTGTGACAAAAGAACAATTGGGAAAAAAAAAACAAAAACTGCCTCATCTCAAATGTACAGCTGAGCTTGGCTCACCTGGTTCACAACTCGTCTGATTTATCAGAACTCGAGGAGCTAAAACCTATCTTTGTGTACAGAAGCATCTCCTTGAAATTTCATGGGATTTTTTTCAGGCAGAATATCTTTGGAAAGTTTTTGGTTTTTGTAAATTGATTTTTTTGACTAATTCTTCAGTAACATTTTATGATCAGCAGTCTATATGTGTATATTTGTAAATACTATGTTTCTGTGAAAAGTATTACACAATAATAAAGAAGGAAACATCTTTCATTAGCTGGAGGTTTTGTGGAGTCCTTAATTGCTTGCTGTTGGGGTTTGTTACAAATTAATTTGCTTTTTCTTTAGCTTTTTAAAGTGACAACAATTCTTTTTATCTTCCTTCATGCACAGGATGATCTCAGAAGAATGTTTGCTTCCTTGGATGTTAGTAGTGGATAGTTTTTCAACAAGGGATGTGATTTTTTTTTTCTCTCCATGATTTAGAAAGGTCTCTGAGCCTCTGTCTGAGGAGCTGACCCTTTGAAGTCAATAACTAATGGTCAGCAGTTGCCCCATTGTCTTAATGTGCCTTGTTCTCTCTGCTTAGCTACAGAAAAGAGGTTATTTTTGGTCATTCAGCCAACATCTTGTACAGAAATTCAGCATTTTTCCGATTTAACACCTTTCATGCAGTTGAAAAATATTCACTAACTTGGGTTTTACTGACACAGACCAATTACCAGTGTTCAGAAAGCTTGTGGCCTCAGTAAAATGGCATGTTTGTTTATGATGCACCCTTGTATGCTGAGGCTGGTTAATTTTTTAACTTTCACAAAAAGAGTACAAAAAGATGTGTGGATTTTTACCTAAGCCTGCTTTAACAACGAAGGGAGTTTGTAGCATTTGGTGTATTCAAAAGGTGCCCTTTTATTGGCAGTTGTCTGATTCTGTAAAGAGTGGGATCAGGGCTTTTACTGATCCCTGACAAAGTCTGAGATCTGTAATCAGAAAGACTGTGGGTTTAGTGACTCATGGTCCTAATTTTTTCAGATTTCATAAAGAGTAGGTGGAGGTTGGAGACAGATTAGAGAAATTAGTGTAGAAATTAGTGTAAAAGTTCACACTTACTCATACAGGAGCTCATCAGTTATCTACATAGAACAACACAGATTAATAACCCCAATGCAAAAATCTTGTTCAAAACAAGGAGAAGAGAAAGTGTTGATGTAATTTAAGCTGTAAGTAACATGATGGTTAGAATGGTTATTGGCATGCTACTTGCTCCCTTGGAATGCAAGCACAGTATTTAAGCCATTGGAGGCATTAATCAATCAGATTTCTTTGCAATTTTTGGTCAGTAATTAGAATTTCCAGTGCAAAGAATTTAAAATGCTGTGTCTGCTGCAGAGGAATTTCATCGTGCACAGAAGTTGTGACGAAGCAGAGCCACCTAAATGGCAATGCAGAATCATCCACCATTTACATAATTATTTCAAAGTTATTTGTAATGCTTTGACTAGGACAAAACCAACTTTCAACCAGTACTGGAGAGGCACCATTTCCTCTGCACATGTTGATGAAACAGTACTAAGTAGAGACAGAGAGAAAAAAAGGACATAAAGTAAATTTCTTAGGCAGCTGTTGTAGATTGTTGTGCAGCGTTGAATTTACAGCAGCTATATTTTTCCCTCTTAAATGGAGTTAAAAGTCTCACTGTGGTTAAATAATTGGCAGCTTGGATGCCAGTTGTTTGTCAAGCAATAGGAAAAAAGCCCAGCTCTTTGATAAAATAGACTGGGCAGCTCGTTTTGCTGCTGCTTTGCAGATTTATTCTCTCTGGGAAGGTTGTTGCTTTAATGACTTCTTAAAATATTTTCTCTCCCTTTGAGCAAGTCGTCTTCTCTCTTTTCTTCTTCCTTACTCCCTTTTGTGGTATGTAGTGAGATGGAGCATTTAGCTACAGGAAAATTTAGATTAAACTGCATTTTTATACAATCTTCATTGTTTACCAAGGTTTGTTTGCATTCAGCACTCTCTCATGGGGAGTTGTATTCTCGGAATTTAAAAAGTAGCAGTGTTTTTATTACGTTATTTTTTCTCTTTCCAGCCAGAATGGACGTTTTTACCATATTAAGGGGCATGAACTGCTTTACCAGAATAATTCCTTTATGTGATTTCACATTTAAAAAACAATGCTGCTTTTTTTGGTCAGTCTTCACAGGCACTGGCTGTGTTGTAACTGCTTGTGAATCCAGCACAGAGCTTGGGGTACTGTGAGTACAATTCCTGGGATACCGGGAGAATTCCTGGATCAGAAAAAGTGTCTTAAAAACTCCAGACTGGGAAATTTTCCAATTTCTGTTTTCCAGGTGTGGATTTGCAGCCCAACCCCTGGAAGAGACATCTCTGTGTCCCTGATCATAGGACCCTGCCAAGCACCTGGGACCACTGGTCTGGGATGTGCAGCCACCTCCATCCCATGGAATCCGTAGGTGCTCAATTCCATGCAATGTTTCCATGCACTAAAAAGGCCTTGTATCACCTGGCTGTGTTGCCAGAGTTTTGTCTTTCCTCCTTGTTTTGGGAGTTCCAGATTATAGTTTTGAAGATTAAAAAAAAAGACAAACAAATGGTCAGTTTATACAACAGACCATTATTCTCTCTGTATTAAGGCAGAGCAGCCTCTCAAACAGAAATGCCAACAACAGGAAGATAGGAATTACCCAAGAGGTATCATTTTTTTTTCTCTGGAGGTTCAGGTTCAACTGAGATTCAAAAAGTACTTCCAACTTCAAGTTTTGAATCACTAAATCATTTGCAGACCCGAGGATTTGCAGGTGGTACAGACATACATTCTCAGGGATGGATGGCTTTATGAAGCAAAACTAATAGCACAAAGGCATTGCTGCAGCAAGGGTTGTGTGTAGCCTCAGGTTCTTCATTTTTCTTTATCAAATGGAAGTGAAATAGGTGAGTGTTAGGTGCTCATATCCATCTGTCCTCCAATCCCTGTTACCAGTTTCCTTCAGAGCATGTTCCTCAGTGCAGAATTCCAGTTCCTCGGCTTTGCTCCGTGTGCCCATCCAGGTACAACCTTCACAGTTCAAGAGGTGAAGTCATAACAACTTTTATTAAAAAGATGCTCTAATTTGAATTAATTAGATGTGTTTGGAAGCTTCCTACTCGTCTCTTCAGTCAGCTGGCGGGTAACCTCTTAGGAATAAAAAAGTTAAAATCACTTGGCTGTCTCAGGATATACTTTTTGTTTTTCTACAGCTGAAGAGACTTGGATTCCTGTTAATGGTTTGACTTTCAATGGTTGACAGTTTGGCTCTGTTGAGATGGATCTGTGGTCTGTTGGCATTGCTCATGATTTCACAGCTACTGTCACTTTGTAGCTCTTTGCATCACAACATTTTGTTTGACCAGTGTTTTTTGGAACATACACGTTCTTGCTTGTGAACTTCATGCATTAGAGGCAATCAGAGTTATATTCTTCATTTTTCAATGGGACAAAAAAAAGATAGCATTTAGAATTAATGTGGTTTTTTTGGGATTTAAGGCAATGACTGTTATCTTTTGTGAAGACATTTGATTGGGAAATCCTATTTAATTAAATTTCTGCTTAATTCAGTTGCATTTATCATCTATTCCTCTTCTCTCATCCCTACCCAGCAAGCAATTATATGAAGCAAAGAAGTAAAAGACCTGTGGATTGAGGTTAGTAAACTGCTAAAGCATCTTCTTTACTAATTTTCCTTTTGCTTCATGATCTGAAAGCATGAAATACAGCATTGAACTGATCTAACATTGTTAATTTTAAGATGAAAATAACTTGGCTATAACATTATGAAAATTTGTTTGAAAGTCTGATAAATGCAGCTCTTAAAAGTTGAAAGCTCAATGTTTTATTTTTTTCCCCAGGTGTGATTAAATACAAACATGTTCTGAATATCTTGTTTTGCTTTTAGACAGATCCTTCCAGCACCAAAAATGCAGTTCTCTGAAGTATTACAAATAAAAGGAAAGGCTTTATTGGAGCATTTGGTTGGAAATAAAACCTGCCTGCACTCTTAATGAGGTTTCAGTCTTTCTGGTGGCAGCTGCTGTGGTATTGCTGTTGTTGCTCTGCTAGAACCATCGAAGGATTCTTGGTAAATCTTGATGCAAAGCATGTCTTTGCTTTTTGCCTTAATTTTCCCTGCCCTGGATTACACAGGAGGTGAATATACCCCTCCTGCATTTTGTGTAATGCTAAAGCAAGTCGTGGCTGTTTATGACAAATCCACTTTTACCTTCCAGTGAACTTGAGGCTTCCACGGTATTAATTTAATATCTTTAATTTGAATGAAGATGGTAATCTCTTGGCAACAATTAATCCTGAGCCTGTAGCATGACAAACACTATAAAAAAAGCTCTGCCAGACCATTTCCAGAGGGGTGGTGATAATCTGCCATCTCTGGATGGCTGCCACGCTCTCCTCGGGAGACGTGCTAGGACTTGTTCCTTCTGATAGGGACAAGATGGCTCCACGTGCAATGGGGACGTGCTGACAAACTCATTTTTCTCTTCAGGCTGAGTATTAAACTGATGGTCTCAACCCAGGGAGTGTGATGACTTCGTGTTGATATTTGACAGTGTTACAGCTGCCTGCCTGGGTAAGAGAAACCCCACTGGAGGGGAGAGCAGGTGCTGACTTCCCCAGACAGCACAGAGTGGCAGGTGGGACACCTTACTGCAGTAAAAGTGGCATTTTTGGGAGGGTCTCAGATTTTTCTTGTCCTGTTTGCTGTAAAATAAATTCTAAGGATGTGTTCCTCCAGGCAGAGTTCCCACACATGCTCAGGATTTGGGGTTTCTCATTAAAATGCAATCAAATATATGAATCTGCAGTGTTATTTGTTAGGATATGGCAGCTGTGGTGATTGTGGCACTCTGTTAAATCACTGCTCTGGCTTGTTAGAACAGCTTTTTTCCTCCAGAAATGCTAAAGCTTGAA